TTCTTTTTCTTTTTTTATAATTTGGTTGGTATGTTCTACTTTATGTTTATATAATTATATTTATTCTATTTAAAATGTTAATTTTGATTTATTAAAAACTTTAATTATATACTAATTAAATAATATAATTATTTTACTTGTATTGTCTTTTGTTTTTTTTTAAAACTATATTTGGATCATTGTTGGTCTGGAAACAAAGAAGTCAAAACCGTACCGTACTGGTCGATACGGTCAATACGTATTGGTTTTTAAAGTTGACCGAAACAGTATAATATTAATTTTCGTTTCGGTCAAAATCCAGTCGTTTCGGTCAAAATTCAGTCATTTCGATCAAAATCCGATGTATCGACCAAAATTTTAACCGGTACACACTGCAAATTAAAAAAAAAAAAAAAAGGATTCCCTAGCCCAAAACGACGTCGTTTTGGGCTAAGGGCTTCTTAATAAGAAGTTGTCCATACAACTCAATTCAAATTTAAAAAGGGTAAATTTCATTTTTGGTAATAAACTTTAATGTTATATATAATTTTCATCTTTTAACTTTTTTATATACTTTTTTAGTTCATTTTTCATTTTTTTGTCTTTCTATCAATTATTTTGTTAAATCTGTCTAAATATACACATTTTTAGTTCCTTAATTTAAAGTGGATGGACAAAAAATATACATATATTAAAAGTTAAGAGATTAAAACTGATCATTTTAAATTTATTTTTAATTTATAAGAATATCATAGTTTTAAATATTAGTATCCCTTATCTTATTTTAAAATTTGATATTTAATTTATAAAATTATATATTTATAGCGATAAATCCGAAACGGTACACGAAAAATTCCGGTATCCGGTACGTACTGTTCCAGTAACAAAATCGGTACACATACCGGTACGGTATTGACTACTTTGTTTGGAAAACCTATTTAGACCAATAGTGGTCCGAATAGGTTGCCTAAAATCTAGAAGCTTTACCTCTCAAATTTTTTCATTCTTTTCATTTAAGGATAATCCCATCCTAACGAGCCCCGATTCCGTTTTTACCAAAACCAGCTACGTGCACATTGCTACTAGAGTCACTCCAAACCTCGACGCCATCAATTAGTCACCCAAAATGGCTTCATGGTGGCATAAGGGAATATCATTGCATAATCACAAATGCGTAGAGTTAAGATCATTAACTATAAGGTTATACCATGCCATTGCTAATCCACAAAAATTTAGGCTTGGTATTGTTAGTTTTAAAGTTAAACTCTATGGTATTCAAGCCTTTTGGAGCCTGTTGTTTGAATGCGAATAGAACGAATTGGCACAGTTTGAGGTGTTAGGGAAAAATAAGGATTTTGCTCAACATATTTAAACCACTGTTGGTCTGGAAAAGTTATTCGGATCAACAGTGATCCGAATATAGTGCCCAGAATCTAGAAACTTCTCTTCTAAAATTATTTCATTCTTTTCATTTAAGGACAACAAGGCTTTTCCGAACCCTTTGGATTGTTATTGTTAGTTTTAAATATAGGTTCTAAGGTATTCAAGGCCTTTAGATGCTGTTGTTTGAGTGAGAGTACAACGAATCGAGCATGGTTCAAGGTGTAAAGGGAAAAAAAAAAGTATATTATGCACTATATTTAGACCACTGTCGTCTGGAAAAGTTATTTGGACCAATAGTGGTCCGAATATAGTAACCATAATCTAGAAACTTCTATTCTAAGACTTTTTCATTTTTTTCATTTAAGGACAACAAGGCTTTCTCGGGCCTTGATTCCATTTCTACCAAACCCAAGTGCGCGCACTGCCCTACTATAGTCACCCATAACCCCGGCATCATCAGCCAAAAACTTGAAATTGGTTTTCCGTGATGTAAGGCAACATCATTGTAAAACCTCAAACGCGTTGAGTTAAGATTATTAATTTTATAGTTATGTCACATCGTTACGAAACCATAAATCCTTTGGTTTGTTATTGTTAGTTTTAAATATAGATTCTAAGGTATTCAAGGCCTTTAGATGTTGTTCTTCGATTGAGAGTACAACAAATCGGGCATGGTTCAAGGTGTAAAGGAAAATATAAAAGTATATTGTGCATTATATTCGGACCACTGTTGGTTTGGAAACATTATTCAAACCAACAATGGTCCAAATATAGTGCCCAATATCTATAAACTTCTCTTCTAAGACTTTTTCATTCTTTTCGTTTAAGGACAACGAGACTTTCCCAGGCCTTGATTCCATTTCTACTAAAGCCAAGTGCGCACACTGCATCACTATGGTCACCCATAATCCCGGAGCCATCAATTAGCCACCTTAAATTGGTGTACCATGACATAAGACAATATCATTGCAAAATCTCAAATGCATGGAGTTAAGATTACTAGCTTTAAAGTTATGCCACGTTGTTACAAACACCACAAATCCGTTGGATTGTGATTGTTAGTTTTAAGTATGGATTATATGGTATTCAAGCCATTTAGATGCTATTGTTAAAAGGATAATACAATGAATCGAACATGGTTGTAGGTATCAAGGGAAAAAAAAATGGTACTGCCAATGATATTCGAACCACTGTTGTTTGGAAAGTTATTCGAACCAACAGTGATCCGAATATGATGCCCAGAATCTAAAAGCTTCTCTTCTCATACTTTTTCATACTTTTCATTTAAGCACAACAAGGCTTTCCCGAGCCTCGATTCCTTTTTTACCAAAGTCAAGTGCGTGCACCACACCACTATAGTCACCCATAACCTCAGCACCATCAGTTAGTCACCTTAAGTTGGTGTATCATGACGTAAAATAATATCATTGCAAAATCTCAAATGTGTGGATTTAAGATTATTAGCTTTACAGTTATGTGGTGCCGTTACAAGACCACAAACCCGTTGGATTGTAATTATTAGCTTTAAATATGGATTCTATGGTATTCAAGCCCTTTAGATCCCATTGTTAAAGGGAGAATACAACGAATTGGGCACTGTTCTCAACGTCAAGAAAGAAAGAAAAAAAGTTCATTGGCCATGATATTCGGACCATTGTTGGTCTGGAAATGTTATCTGAACCAACAGTGGTCCGAATATTAAATTGTTTTTTTAAATATATTTTATATCTTTTTTTTTTTTGGTTTATCTATGTCTTTTTTATTTGATATGTGTATGGACCAAAGTTGGTCCGAATAAATTTAGCACCCTTTTCTGCCAAAATATTTGAACTTTGGAATTTAATTTTTTTGACATTATTCAAACCAATGGCGGTTTGAAATAAAAAAACCGCCAAAAATTTTAGTGACTTTTGAAAGTTTTATGGTGTGCGGCAACAGTTAATTGAATATATTTCGAATCGTTTATGGTTTGAAATAAATTTGGCTATATATTAGCTTGTTTGTTGCCTTTTCCACAAAATTTTGTTTTGTGGCTTTTCTCAGCTTTCCTTCTCCCCTTCCTTGTTTGCTCTTTGGGTCCCCTCTCTTCTTTCTCTCATTCT